TGGGGAGTCTGTCTTTCCCTCTCCCTCTGCCCCCGCCCCCACTCATGCTCTCTCGCCTCTCTCTCTAATAAATGAATTAAAAAAAAAAAAAACTGGAGGTATCACAATCCCAGATTTCAAGATATACTACAAAACTGTAGTAATCAAAACAGTATGGTACTGGCACAAAAACAGACATATTGATTAACAGAACAGAATAGAGAGCCAGAAATAAACCCATGATTATTTGGTCAATTAATCTTTGAGAGAGGAGGCAAGAATATGCAATAAGAAAAAGTTTCTTCAACAAATGGTGTTGGGAAAACTAGATGGCTACCTGCAAGAGAATTAAAACGGACCACTTTCTTATATCATACACAAAAATAAATTCAAAATGGATTAAAGACCTAAATGGGAGACCTGACCATAAAAAATCCTAGAAGAGAGCACAGGCAATAATTTCTCTGATTTGAAAAAATATATACCTCCTTCTGTTTACTGCAACATTATTTATAATAGCCAAGATATAAAAGCAACCCAAGTATCCATCCATAGATGAATAGATAAAAAAGATGTGGTACATATATACAATGGAATATTACTCAGTCATAAATAGAATGAAATCTTGCCTATTTGCAATAACATGGATAGATGTAGAACACATAACGCTAAGTGAAATATGTCAGAGAACGACAAATACCATATGATTTCACTTATATGTGAAATTTTTTTTCATATGTGAAATTTAAGAAACAAAACAAAGAAAGGGAAAAAAAGACACCCCCCCCCCCAAAAAAAGACTCTTCAATAGAGAGGACAAACTAGTGGTTACCAGAAGGGAGCTGTTAGGGGTTTGGATGAAATAGGTGAGGGGAATTAAGAGTACACATGTGGGAGATATCAGAAAGGGACACAGAACATAAAGACTTCTAACTCTGGGAAATGAACTAGGGGTGGTGGAAGGGGAGGAGGGCGGGGGGTGGGGGTGAATGGGTGACGGGCACGGAGGGGGACACTTGACGGGATGAGCACTGGGTGTTATTCTGTATGTTGGTAAATTGAACACCAATAAAAATTAATTTATAAAAATAAAAAAAAAAAAACAGTTAATATGGGGATCCCTGGGTGGCACAACAGTTTGGCGCCTGCCTTCTGCCCAGGGCATGATCCTGGAGACCCGGGATCGAGTCCCATGTTGGGCTCCCTGCATGGAGCCTGCTTCTCCCTCTGCCTGTGTCTCTGCCTCTCTCTCTCTTTCTCTCTATGTCTATCATGAATAAATAAATAAAATCTTAAAAAAAAAAAAAAAAGAGTACACATAGGGATGAGCAGTGAATAATACACAGAATTGATGAATCACTATAATGTTCACCTGAAGCTGATAAAACACTGTATGTTAATTATACTAGAATCTAAAAAAAAAAAAAAAAAGACCAGCTGAATGACCCATGTAGCCCAATCCAAGAATCAGGAGATACTTGGTGCTAAGCCACATGAATTTTATTCACAAATGAAAAAGAAGGCAAAAAATTCAATTTGCTTAAATTTTCCTAAATGACAACTCTATTCTAGGCCAGTGACAAGGACAACCTCAGGGCCTGCCACCTTTTTAGATTCAAAGCCAAGATGAAACACCACCAATGGTCACTCTGGAGCCACTACCGGTGGTAAACCGGAGTGAACATTACATCCCACATGTTTCACTCTCTGCCTACTGAAAAACAGCACTGTGGTGTGCTGACCTGTCAGCTCGGGGGCACACCTGACTGATCAAGGCATAATCCCAAGTGACTGATCCAGGAATGGGCATGGGACCCAACTCTGGCCTATGAAAATTCAGAAGAGGTTGCTGGAGGTTTCTGGTGGATGCATGCAGCCAAATCCAGACCTGCCAGTGCTCTGGTAACAGCTATCTGAATTTTACTTGCAAATGGAAAAATGCAAGAAATCTCTTCAGAAAGTGAAGAGAACAAACTCTCAAACTGGACATGAACAAGGATGCAACCACCTATTGCTACGATGACATCCTACAATCCAGCCATGAAAGAGGATGCCATGGACAAAAGCTAACACAAAGGAAGGAGGGCAGAGACAAGACACAGAAACAGCCTCAAGTGTGCCCAACTTACCTCCTGACTCTACTGTAAATGACTAATATTCCTTAATAGGAAAGCCAGCCAGAATTAGGTTTCTTCACTTACAGCCAAAGGCCCCAGAGACTGGTGGTGTTTTTTTATAATGAAAGAAATATATGTATTTAAAATATCAATGAATAAGCGGGAAGAAAACAGGCCATGCTCAGTGAGGGCTTATCAGAGCAAGAGTATTGATCCCCTGTACAACTTTTGCTGGATATTGCTTCATATACCTCCCTTTCATATTATGTGGTATTTTTAATGAAAACTGAGTCTGTGTGTTTTAGAAAATGCTCACTCTTATCACAAGAAAAGCATACTCAGGATCAGAAGCATAGGATGGAAAGGGGATTAAGGGATGGCAGACTGCCAACCTTCAGAGCCTTTCCTGCTCCCCCCATCCCTCACCCAAAACTTCTTTATCAATTATCATCACAGTAATAAACTGAACAGTTTAAAAGTCATGGCAATATTCTCATTTTGGACAAGATGATCTCCTTAGGCAGGGGAAATGTTTTACCGTGCTCTACTGAAAGACCTATTTATTATTTTCAATGTCAGAATTGTCTTAATCGTTTATTACTGCCATCTCCTTTCTCCCTTACGCTTAAGCTTGTGTTGGTGGTGAATAATGAGAGCTATTAGTTGTCATTCAGTCCAGAAGTTTTTGAGAACTAAAGTAGGAATGTTAGGGGAATTTTCTCACATTCCTTCCTGACTGTAATAACATGAATGATGTGGGACTCTGACCTACCCTCTCAAGTCTCTCTTTCTCCCTTTCTCTGCCTCCTCACCAAACACAGACCCACACAAGTTTCTCTTTTCTCTCTTTGTATAACCAGGCTATTGAATGTGGTAAAACACATACACATACACACTCACAAAACCAATGAAGATGAGTGCCAAGCACACCTATGGTCCTGAAAGATACTGCCCCTCTGTCAACCTGCGGGGTCAGCTCCATCTCCCAACCCTGTTCTTCAAAGCTCCTACACACAAACCTCCTGCATAGCACCCCCTTCCACCTTCCACTTCCTCTACAGGCAAGAACTACTTCAATGTCCTACCCTCCAGCAGCAAACGTATCTACACTGCCAATCATCATGATAGTTTTCCTTCTTAAGTCAGAGGAAAGAGCAGAGCCCCTCCTACAGAATTGATATTAAAATGGTAACAAGAATACCCACAATGTACCATGTTTCTCATCCTCCATAAAGTTATAAGTGCCAGGGCACCTGGGTGGCTCAGTGGTTGAGCATCTGCCTTTGGCTCAGGTTGTGATCTTGGGGTCCTGGGATCGAGTCGTGCGTTGGGCTCCCAGCAAGGAGACTGTCTCTCCTTCTATGTCTCTACCTCTCTCTGTGTGTCTCTCATGAAAAAAATAAAATAAAGTGTCTTTAAAAAACAAAAAGTTAGGGGGATGCCCGGGTGGCTTGGCGGTTGAGCATCTGCCTTGGGCCCAGGATGTGATCCTGGAGACCTGTAATCGAGCCCCACACTGGGCTCCCTGCATGGAGCCTGCTTCTCCCTCTGCCTGTGTCTCCGCCTCTCTCTCTCTCTCTCTCTCTGTGTGTGTGTGTGTGTCTTTCATGAATAAATAAAATATTTTTTAAAAAAAGTTATAAGCTCCATTTGTGCTCTAGATCCTATTATCTCCTCTCCTTGGTCCATTAATCCTTCTCTTCTCTGGCTTCTCAATTATCACTATCCCCTCAAATTCAAATTCCTCAGACTTCCACTTCCAGCCAGGACAAAGAAACAGTGAAATTAACCCTTCCACCTGAAACAACTTTTTTTTAAAAAAAAGGCCAGAATATATGAAAAAATGACCCTGGATGTTAGACCACAAAGGATAGTGATGCCTGAAAGATGGGAAATACAGGAAGTGATCCTTTGCTTACAGCCTTGAAAGCATTTCCAGGCTGAAGCATAGAGAGAAGATTCCAGGTGGAACCTAGTCAACTACTCAAGCTGAAGAGATGTGGCTGAGTCTTAATAAACCAAAGTGAATCCACAGGACAGAGTAGCAGGAGAAGTCAGGAGATGTACAGAGGGTCCCACTCAAATACTGAACGGAGTACTGGAGGGCCCAAGTGCCTGATGAAACTACTGGAGCTGAAGGAAGAACCACCTGAGAGCATGAAAGACAACGGTAATCTGAGCTCCCTTGGGACCGGAATGTTTGTGGACACAAACATTCCATGGATAGCAAAGCCCGACAGGCAGAGAAACACTGTAATTAAGCTGGAGCTGCAACCTAAAAAGTATCAAAGACCCACAAAAGTAAAAGAACAGCATCATTTTTTATAGAATTACTCCATAAATTTTGGTGACGTATGAGAGGCAAGAGCAAGGGAGAGGGGAATACCACTAAATTCCTTCCTGATGCCAAGCACTGGAAACGGTTCAATAAGACACAGTCCCGGCCCCAGTGGGCCATTCCATGGTCTTCAGAACAGATTCATCAACTTCCTCCTCTGAGTACTCCTTCAGCTTTTGGCCAGGAGTCAGCTAAAAGGTCCCCTCCTTGAAAAAGCTTTCCTTCACCTCGCTAACTACTACAGAGTAGCCCGCTTTCCTTTCTTCACAGTACTTTTCACAATTTCTAATTATCATTTATTATTACTGTATGATTATGATTACTGTTTTCTCCCATGCACAATTAGAATATGAGCTCCATATATGAAGAAATCATGTTTGTCATCTTCACCACCGTACCCTTTGTGACCACCATGGTCTATAACCACTGAAGGTACTCTACTTACTGAATGAAAACAAGAGCTATGACCAGGATAAGTTTTCCAATGGTAACATTTCCCAGGCTAGTTTGCTCCAAATCCTTAGATTTAGTTCCCTTAGTTACAAAGGAGTATACAAAGTACTCACCTCAACCTGAGTAACATTGATGACCAGCACCACCACCATCAACACTGCAAGCAGACAGCAGAAAAGCCGTAGTTTGAAGAAACTGATCCACATTGTCTGGCTGTGTCTTGATCACCCATGGCCGACGCCATGCTACCTTCACTCCTCAAAACTCCATTTCTTTGTTCTTCTGATTTGCAAGTGAGCTTTTAGTTTTGCAGGTGAGCTTTTAGTTTAATTTGCTTCTTTTCTGCTAGTATCAGTAAGAGTTCTTTGTATGGAGGAGAAGCTGGGGTTGATTTAAGAAGTACATTCTTCAAAGGACTCCTTCAAAAAGGGAAGATGAGAATACGCGTCATCAGCTGCAACAGCCTAGTGTGTGCTAAGAGGAAAGACGCTGCATTTCCTCTTCAACCCTCTCAAAGGCCCAAAGTCATAAAGAGAAAGCAAAGAGCAAGAGCACAGTAAAATCTGTTCCATATCCAATTTGCTCAAACCCAACCCCAGGCTTCCACATAAACAGAGTGATATTTGTCCTACAACCTATTTAGGTTTTAACTTTTAAGAATACAGAGAAGAACATCTTCAAACTCTTAGAAATAGAAAATTAGAGTCACTGTTAAATTTCTAGAGGTCTAAGTAAATAAAATCATTTCCCTTCCCTTATGGTTCAAGTTATATAATACCTCTAAAGTAATTATATTTTATCAGCATTAAGAGGAAACCTCATGATTTTATGAGAAGTTCTGGGATACTGTGCAAACCATCCTGACCTCCTCTAGAAAACAAGGAGCAGTGTATTCCTGCACAGCAGAAAACGTGAAATACTCTTTGGATTTTCAGCTCCCCACCACATATATAGAACTGATAATGCTCCCTCAGCTGTGTAACAGGGCACAGGAGGGAAGACACTTGCCCCGGAGATATAGGAAAGAAAAGCTAAGCCTGAGGATTAAGAGGAGATCCAAATCTTTCATCATCTCTGCCAAAGAGAGAGGACTTCAGAGCCTGCCACTCCTAACTGTTCTCCCATATAATGATTTCAAAATGCTGCCCCCAGTTGTTATTTTGGTATATGTAAGCAGAGAATGTACCATTTTTTTTTTTAGGATTTTTTAATTTATTCATTTGAGAGAGAGAGCACAAGCGGTGGGGGGGGGGGGGAAGAGGCAGAAGGAGGGGGAGAAGCAAGCTCCCCGCTGAGCAGGGAGCCCCACGTGGGGCTCGATCCCAGGACCTGGAGATCATGACGTGAGCCAAAGGCAGATGCATAACCAGCTGAGTCACCCAGGTACCCCAAAAGTACTAATATTTGTTCCTAGCTTGGCTTTCCATAGGGGGCAGTGTGGAGAAGATGAAAGGGTGCATAACTATGGTACAGAGGACCACTGAATACCTCAGCCGCACCAGCACTCCCTGCGGCTGTGTACTGGACCTGGCAAGCCATCCTATTCCCTCACTCTTCCACACTGTCTAATCCATTCCCATGCCACAAGAACCACAACTCTCCCTCACCTCCACTTTGTAAAGGAGACGGGGCTAGGCTATTCTAACATGCTCTCCATCCTCAGAATTGCCACAGTCCTTTCTTCTCATTTCTCTTCTCAGTGTTTTCACTCCTCTGTATTTGTATGTTATTTCCTGTCCCCCCCAACTAGACTATACCAAAAACGACTATTTAAAACATACACGCGCGCGCGCGCGCGCGCACACACACACACAGAGAAACTAGGGGCACCTGGGTGGCTCAGTCAATTAAGCATCCAACTCTTGGTTTTGATTCAGGTGGTGATCTCAGGATCATGAGACCAAGCCCATGTGGGGCTCTGTGCTCAGCATGAAGTCTGCTTGTCCCACTCTCTCCCTTTGCTCCTCCCTCTGCTCTCAAGCTCTCTCAAATAAATAAAATTAAAAAAAAAAAAAAACAGAAACCATATATCAGAGAAAAAGCAACTTAAAAACAATATATCATTCTTTGAATCCCTCATAGTACCTCCCCCCTTACATGATATATGTTGATGCAACAATCTACACAACAAATAATTATGGAGGCCTACTCTGTACCACACACTGCACTAAATGCCAAAAATTCCCATGGAAAAGCTTACACTCATATTAGGCAAGAGGTAGTTCCTCTCCTAAATTAAATAGGAATAAATCCACCACTCCTGGCCACCTCTATAGGGATACCAAGTACTGTGAAAGGCTGCACTTAACCATTTGATCACTCCTCAACACTGGCCCTCTCCAACACCCAAGCACACACTCACCCCAAAGTGCCTGTAAATTCTGGAAAGAATGGCTGTGAACTAGAAGAAATAACTCTGTCATCAGGGCCCAACTGCTCCTCTGCAGAAACCCTTCTCAAGGAGTTGGCCATAAAAATCATAGGTTTCCCTCATGCCCAGAGAAGGAGAAGACCAAAGGTGATACTCCACAGAGATTCAGCAGCACCATAGTAAGCACGGTCTGTGTACCATGGAAACGCCAGCAGCTGAGAGAAGCTCAGTGTTATTCAGAGCCACGTAGCAGCAGCAGTCAGGGGTGCAGAAGGATGCCAAAGGGCAGCAGACTCTAGAGCTACAGGAACTATAGGGAAATAGACAGCAATGCAAATATGCAAGAAGCCTCCCACAGCCAAGGACTTCTACGGAAAATCATCATTGGAGAGTCATGCCAAGGAAAGACCTGACTTCCTGCTGGGAGCAAAGAGAGCACTGAGTTTTGAGAGACCCATTTGTATATCTAAGTAGATGTGGTTGGAGGCGCACTTAGACCTCTTGAAAAGACATATATTAAAATGTTGATAGTTGTCACCTCTGCGTGGTTTTTTTTCTCCTTAGTCTTTATCTTTCTGTCCTAACTTTTCACCAGGAAATAAAAATTACAAATATAAAATAAAAAGCAAGTTCTAAAAGTAATAATTAAAGATAAGCCATAAGGAGAAACAGAGCATTACACCAAATATAGGAAAACAATTCAAAATGAAAAATTTCAAAGTTGAAGGAAGAAATCTCTAACCATTCTCTACTATTTTTCTACAAATATAAAACCTAGGCATTTTAAGTTTATTTGCAAAGACAGCAGGACAATATCACTTGAAATCTCAAATTACCTTAGAATTGAGTAAAAACAAAAGGGTCAGATGGGAATGACTCTAACAAAAAATTTCCTAAATCAACCAAAAATAAAAATATATAACGTGATTTACCTTTTTTTTTAAATGTCCGGTTCCCAAGGAGAGATGCTTATTAGAACTAAGAAATTAGAGCTTACAGCTAACTTTCCTTCCAGTGTAAAGTCCTGAATTCAAGCAATCGTGAAAGCAGCACTTATTCTTGTCTTGCCATATTCAAATCATATAGGTTGATACTTTTTTCATTTGTATACCATTCTTCCTTCTACAACAGGGATAAACACATGACACACAGGTTAAAGATACTGAAATTAAGGAAAACATATTTGAAATCAAGAGTATAATTTATACCAAGATGTACACAGATTTTGGTATATAACATAGTAGGAAAAACATTTCCTTTACTACTAATAAAAAAACAATAACTGGATATTTATATATGTGAACTTAAATATGGCAAGTCATGCCCAGACCTAAGCTGAAGGTCAAAACCTTATAAGTAGCATTATAACTGGAATAAATAAATAAATAAATAAATAAATAAATAAATAAATAAATAAAAGATAGAAGTACCCTATGTTACTTTTTCTTAAAGACTAGAATAATCATGTACTTAACAACCCATCCTACCACAATAGAAAACAAGACAGATCCAAAAGTTATGATTACTCCAGGAGAAATTTAAATTTGAGCAGTCTGATTTTCAAATCTTTCTAATCTGCCAGTCCACCACTTAGTCATGCTTCATATTTAGGTTTGAAGGACAAGCAAAATGTAAAATGCATGGTCTGTTGGGTCTTTCACCAAAGCTTATTAAGACAACTTACCTGGGGCGCCTGGTTGGCTCAGTCAGCTGACCGCCTACCTTGGGCTCAGATCATGATCCCAGGGTCCTGGAATCAAGCCCCATGTAGGGTTCCCGCTCAGTGGGGAGCCTGCTTCTCCCTCTCCTCCCTGCTCACTCTCTCTATCTCTGTCTCTCAAATAAATAAATAAAATCTTAAAAAAAGAAGACTACTTACCAGCCAATCTAACTTCCTTATGACCTAACAACCCCCGACTACCTCTCTGCACCTGTCTTCATCCCATCTTGCGAGAGAATCACAGTGATTGCTTACATCACTTGGAATTAAAATCGTCAGTAACATCAATGAGACAGTTGAGTTCAGTACTAAAAAGAAAATTAGGCAGCAAACCCATGCCCTAGGGAACTAAAGTTCTTGGACAACCATTTAACAAAGACAATAATGTACTAGAGGATAACCACACATCCAGTTTCTGGGACAGTTCCTGTCCTAAATACCCTGAACTGCTATCCACATAAATGTAATTGTACTTATCAGACCAAGTGTCTAGAATTTTAATTCAGAGTACAAAGACTACTTCACAAAAGACAATCAGATTTACAAGGACAATACCCAAATTTAAATATTTATATATCAGGGGAGCCTGTGTGACTCAGTCAGTTAAGCATCTGACTCTTAATTTCAGCCCAGGTCATGACCTCAGGGTTGTGAGATCGAGCCCCACATTCAGGCTCCATGCCTCCCCCAAATTTATATATTAAACTTTCCAAATTGCAGCCATAGAACTCATAAATACAGAGAACAAACTGCTGGTTGCCAGAGGGGAGGGGAATCAGGGGGATGGGCAAAATAGGCGAGGAAGATTAAGAGATACAAACTTCCAGTTACCAAATAAGTAAGTTATGGGGATGCAAATATAGCATAGGGAATATAGTGAATAATACTGTAATAACTTTGTGTGGTGACAGGTGGTAATTACACTGATCATGGTGATCATTTTGTAATGTATACAAATGTCAAATCACTCTGGTATACACCTGATACGAACAGAACATTGTATGTCAACTGTACTTCAATAAATAAATAACAAAGAGCAGGCATATTTCACAAGGTGCTGGGTAAGATCTTGAAACTTAACGAGCCAGGATCTAGAGAAAGAACTGGAGACCTATCCAAGAACATGACAATGATGGGTCACCAAGTAAGGTCCATCCTTGGGCGAAGAAGCAGCACAGCAGAAGTCTGCAGGACTTGTTTCCCCTGATTCCATTTCTCTTTCATTTATCCCCACTTCACACACCCAAACTGCTGACTCACCACCCCGGCCTTCCCTCGCCCTTCTTCCAAAGCAGCACCCCATGCTTTCACGGGAGGAGGGAATGAGAAGGAAACAAATCAGTTAAATAAGTCAGAGGGTGGTAAATGCTGTAAGAAAAAAAAGTAGGGCACAGTGATAGCCTATGTTCTTTAACCTGGCATGCACATTAATATCACATTAATATCATCCTGTGAGCTTTTAACAATGCCAATGCTTAGACTAGACCCAACTAGCTCAATCAGAAGCTGTGGGATCAGGACCCAAAAAAGAGCTTTTTAAAAAGGGTCTCCAGGAAATCCCTGGGTGGCTCAGCGGTTGAGCGCCTGCCTTTTGTCCAGGGCGTGATCCTGGAGACCCGGGATCAGGTCCCATATCGGGCTCCCTGCATGGAGCCTGCTTCTCCCTCTGCCTGTGTGTGTGTGTGTCTTTCATGAATAAATAAATAAAATCTTTTTTTCAATAATTTTTTTTTTAAATTTATTTATGATAGTCACAGAGAGACAGATGCAGAGAGGCAGAGACACAGGCAGAGGGAGAAGCAGGCTCCACGCACCGGGAGCCCGACGTGGGACTCGATCCCGGGTCTCCAGGATCGCGCCCTGGGCCAAAGGCAGGCGCCAAACCGCTGCGCCACCCAGGGATCCCTAAATAAAATCTAAAAAAAAAAAAAAAAAAAAAAAATTTAACGAGGTCTCCAAGTGATTATAACATGCAGCCAAGTAGGGGAGCCACTAGTACGGGGTGCAGCGGTGTTCAACTGGTAAGAGCGGGTCAGCGACGGCCTTTCCAAAAGGCTCTGAATTGTACCTCACGCCGTGTCCCCAGGACAATCGGACGCCAGGGTGACGGGGAAAGCCACCTCACTCCGGTCGTCTATTCCTTCATCTCCCTTCTCAGCACGCGTCAGGCCGAGGCTGTGGAGAGAAGAGGCCCAGCGCGGTCAAGGGAGCGCCGAACGCACACGCCGCGGAGCAGGAGCGTGCGGCCGCCTCCTCCGCGTCGTCAGGCGCCGGCGGCGCCGCCCGCCTCAAGCACACGCCGAGGCGCCCAGCGAGCGATAAGCGCCCGGAGGAGGGGGAAGGCCCCCGAGCCGGGTGCTTCTTCACCTTTGGGAGACGGGCAGCAAACCTCCTGCAGAGCACATCGGGCCAAGAGAGGGAAATCTCACAGACGAGGACCCACAACACTCGGGTAAGTCCTGACAGCGAGCGCCACCTACCTCCGCGCCAGCGGCCTGGGATCCCGCGGCGACGGCCACGGGCCAGGGCGCCCACATCACACCCGGCAAGGTCGCTCGCTCGGGCCCCCACGACCTGGGCCCGGGGGCCCGGGGGCCCGGGGCGTCAGCGCGGGGACGCCGGGAGAGGTCGGCGCGCGACGGCGTCGCCGGGCAAGTGGCCGCGCACCTCGGCAGCGGCCCCCGCGCCTCAGGGGTCGGCGCGTGCGGAGCCGCGGCTTCTCGGGCCCCCGCCCGGCGCCTGCGCACAGCCGCGCCCCCCGCGCCCCCCGTGCCCCCCGCGCTCCCCGCCGGGCGCAGCCGTCCGCGGGGCTCCCTCAGGCCGCCGGGCATCCGCACGCGCGAGCCCGGCTTCCTGGCCCCGCGGCGCCTCCTCACCCCCGACCCCCGGCTCCGATTGGTCGAACGCCGGGAGGGGCGGGGCGAGGGCGCTGAGTGACGGCGGCGGGCGCCGGCCGCGGGGGGCGGGGCCGCGGGGGGGCGGGGGGCTCCGGGGGGCTCCGGGGGGCTCCCGCCGGGGCGGGGGGCGCGGTCCTCGCCCGGAACCCGGAGCCCGGAGCCCGGAGCTCTGGCCCGCTCGGCCCCGCTGCTCCCGCCCCCGAACTCCGGGCTTTCCCGTCTGTTTTCCGTCTGTTCCAAGGCTTTGTTGTCGTCGCCGAGAGCGGTGGAGCCGGAGAAGCCGCCGCTCGCGCCGTCTGGGCCGTCGGGGGCGGGTGTAGCGTCTCCTCCGCTGGAAACCTGCGGCCGCGCGTGAGCGCCGAGCGGGCCGCCCGCCTCCCGGCCTGCCCGCCTCCAGCGCGTCGCTCGGGTTGCCCTCTAAGCCGCCCGCGTGCCTTTTACTCTCCCTGCACGTAACACGGGTCTCCCCCCCCGCCCCCCCGCCCCCGCCGCCCTGGGGTGTCCTGGCTCGGACCTTCGTCTACGCAGAGAAACGTCCCCAGGTACGTGAATTCGGAGCCGACAGGAGTCCTTGAGGAGACAGAGGACCTGCCCCCGGAGCTGGGGGGTAATGGGGTGCGTGGAACTTACGCGAGCCAAACGCGGGCTCTAAAAACAGACCTACCCCGAGACCGTCATCTCAAGGTTGAAGAAGAAAAGGTAATACCGACCGCAACTAACCTCGATTCTTTCGCATTGGCTGACCACGGTGGCCTCTGCGTGCTCACTCGGAGGCTTTCACGGCAGGACTGCACGCATGGGTGAGACGAGACCCGGGGATGGAGCAGAGAGCTCGTGCCTCGGGCGCTCTTCCGGAGAAGCCACTTTTCTCCTTCCTTGGGGAATTCAGCCTCCCAGGGCCCTGGCTTCGGTTCCCTCTGTGCCAGGTGGAGAGCCCCACTGGATAACCGTGTGTGTGCGCTAAGTCCTGTCTCCCAGACGGCCCATCGCTTATCATTCACAGCCCGGCTGCCTGGCAAGTGGCAAATGCTAAAACAGGGCCCACCGACTTGTAGGTCGTGGTTTTGGCGCAGGGGAGAGACCCCCGATAACCCCATTCTCACACAGGCACTCATAACCCTGAGGCATTTGGGTCATCTTACATATATACAGTCATTACAGCCACAAGCAAGAATCACCAGGACCAGAGAAACCTGCCTGTCACTACTAGATACTTTATTTTTTATTTTATTTTTTTGATACTTTAAAATAAGTGCAAAGTCACCACACTCCCAACAAAAAAAAAAAAAAAAAATGCCATCATTCAGAAAATATGCGATTTGGGTCTTAGCCTGAACTGGGCCCGACACACAGCTTTGCTTCTTCCTAGCAGTGTCATCCTAGGCAAAGTACTTACCTTCTCCGGGCTCAGTTCCTCAACTGTAAATTAGGGGCAACACTACCTGCACTTAGGAATGAATAAAGTGACAAATGAGAAATTCCCTAGCACATTGTCCCTAATCTCTCCCTCTTAAATTCCCTATCTCGGGTTATGGCACAGCATAAGGAATTTCTGAATACTACATTTATGATAATCTAACTTTGAAAGCTGGAAAAAAAAATGAGGATGTGAGATTTGGTATGTCATAATACAAAACCAAAGGAACTGTTCGTTGCTGACCTATCTGCAAAAAAGTTTAGATGCTAATGGTTCAAAACTCGATTTCTCTAAGCAAACAAAGCATGGGGGCACCTGAGTGGCTCAGTCAGTTAAGCATCTACCTTGGGCTCAGGTCATGATCCCACGGTCCTGGGCCATGTCTGGCTGTCTGCTCAGCAGATAGCCTGCTTCTCCCTCTCTGCCTACTGTTCCTCCTCTCTCTCTCTCTCTCTCTCTCTCTCTCTGTCAAATAAATAAATAAAATTTTAAAAAAGAAAAGAAAGCATGGATCTTAAAGTTAGATAAGCAAAAAAACAAATTAAGCCTATTTCTGATGTAGCTACCTTGGGGAATGTTTACCAGCAATCTGGCTTTATCTCTGATGAAGCTTGGGGCACAAGAACTTCTGAGCCCATGTCAATTCCTGATTCCGTTCCTTTGCTTCTGAACCCTTTGAAAAAGTGTCTAAAAGCCCCTCAAATGCATTCTTCAAAATAAGTGACTACAGTCACATTAGGTACCAACCCCCCTAATCCCAAAACACCATAGACTATGAGAAGATGCTGCCAAGGGTAGGAGACTAGAAAGGAGATATTTGGTGCCTATGTTAGTCTGTTCAGGCTGCTATAATAAAATGCCATAGACTAGGTGGTCTAAACAACAGAAATTTATTTTCTCACAGTCTGGAAGCTTAAAGTCCCAGATCAAGGTGTCTGGTGATTCAGTTCCTGGTGAGAGCTCTCTTATTGGCTTATAGATGAACACCTTCTCACTGTTTCCTTCTTTTTTCTTTTCTTTCTTTTCTTTTCTTTTTTTTTTAACTGTGTGAGATGCCTGGGTGGCTCAGTTGGTTATGTGTCTGCCTGTCTGCCTTTGGCTTGGGTCACGTCAAGACCCAGAATTGGGCTCGCCACTCAGTGGGGAGTCTAATTCTCCCTTTCCATCTGCCTCTCCCCCCCACTTATGCTCTCTTGCTCTTTCCCTCAAATAAGTAAAATATTTAAAACTAAATAAATAAAAATAAAAGGAACTCTGTGCCATTTCATGGGTGGAGGGGCTTGGATTCAGGCACTTGGGAGGCCTCAGGAGCTCTGCTGAGCAGTGCAAAGGAGTTCTCCTCCTGCTATTTCCATATCTGGTCTTTGAATTCTTCTCGCTGTGTTGATCCTCCTTCTCAGGCGGCCATAGCTCCCTCTTCTGCTGTATAGCATAGTCCTTAAACCACCTGGCCTGTTTGGCAATCTAGAACATAGCCCCAGGGAAGGTGAAGTAGCATGTTTTCTGAAATACGTCCAGCTTCACCCCCATCTTGATTCTCCATCCTCTTCCTCTTATAAGGATATCAGTCTCATTGGATTAGTGCTCCACCCTTATGACCCCTTTTAACCTTAATTGCCTCTTGCTGAGAAAGGCAGTCTCATGCACGCAGTCTTTCATATGACCTTGGCTTGAAGAACTTCTTTACCAAGAGATGAAAGAGTCCTCCCAGCTTGTGCCAGATATTTTGCCCTATGTGGGACTTTGTGTATTCCTTTATTTTGTTTAAGACACCTAAGAGGGATCCCTGGGTGGCGCAGCGGTTTGGCGCCTGCCTTTGGCCCAGGGCGCGATCCTGGAGACCCGGGATCGAATCCCATGTCGGGCTCCCGGTGCATGGAGCCTGCTTCTCCCTCTGCCTGTGTCTCTGCCTCTCTCTCTCTGTATGACTATCATAAAAAATAAATAAATAAATAAATAAATAAATAAATAAATAAATAAATAAATAAATACAGACACCTAAGAGTTCTTTTACCTTTCCACCATGTGAGGATACACTAAGATGGCCATCTGTGAACCAGAAAGCTACCCTCACCAGCCACTGAATCTGCTGGTACCTTGATCTTGGACTTGTCAGTCTCCAGGACTGTGAGAAACATATTTATGTTGCTTATAAGCCACTCAGTCCATAGCATTGTTCGGGCAGCCCAAATGGACTAAGACACTTATACTATCCACTCAAAACAGTTTTCCAAGGTTACTTAGGTCATTTTCCTTTTTCTTAGACCATTCAGTGAATTTATGTCGTACACCTAATGCTTAGATTCAATTGTCATAGTCTATACTCCATCATAAGATCCCCTGACATCCTACTTGAAATTTCGGGGGTAAAATGTACATGTAAAAAACTTTAGTCTTTGTGTACTATTCTATTAATTTTAAAGGTCAGTATGTGATAAAGAGGTCAATTCATCAAAAATATCTAACAATTGTAAATATTTAGGTATCCAACATCAGATATATTACCTAAATATATAAACCAAATACTACCAGAACTAAGAGGAGAAATACAAACCAATATAACAATAGTTGAAGACTTTAATATTCCATTCTCAACAATGAATAAATTATCCAGAGAATCAATAAGGAAACAGGCTTAACACTACAGACCAAATGGATCCAATAGACACGAACAGAACATTCCATCCCAGAGCAGCAGAACACGTTCTTCTCAAGGGCACATGGAATATTTTTAGGATAGATCATGTGAGGTCACAAAACAAGTCTCAACAAATTAAGGAAAATAAAATTACATTGAGTATCTTCCAACCACAGTGAAATGAAATTAGAATTCAATAACAGGAGGAAAACTGGAAAATTCACAAATACATGAAAATTAAACACATTCCTGAACAGCCAATGAATCAAAGAAGAAATTAAAGGGATATAAAAAACATTTTGACAGATGAAAATAAAAAGGCAAAATACCAAAATTTATGGGTGGGATGCAGCATACTTTTCAGAATTGTCAACTATATTTAAATTTAAAAATTTTAACTTAAAAAGAGCATCAGAGCAGAAGGATCAATAGTCTAAGGGGCAGAATAAAGGGGTAAAAAGGTATGCAGGGAGGGACTGATAACTGATTGATGATCAGACTTGTGAAACTACCTGGGGAAAGCTTCTTAAATGTGTACAGCAGACCTAGTGAAATATCTGGAAAATAAAGAGTGGGTATATAGCAGATCACAGGACTGAAAAAAAGAGGGCAGTTTTCAATTCCAAGAATTTTTTTTAGATGCAAGATGGGGCACCCTAGTAGCTCAGTCAGTGGAGTGTCTGACTCTTGATTTTGGCTCCAGTCATGATCTTAGTGTTGTGACTGTTGTGAGCTAGAGCCCCACTACTGGTGCCATGCTCAGCAGGGAGTCTGCTTGAGATTCTCTCTCCCTCTCCCCCTCCTCCCATTCACATGGGCAAGCACTTTCTCTAAAATAAATAAATCTTTTAAGATTTTATTTATTTATTCATAGAGACCCAGAGAGAGAGAGAGGCAGAGACACAGGCAGAGGGAGAAGCAGGCTCCACGCAGG